GCAGAGTTGACAAAATTATATGCAGGAATCCAACAAGATGGGTAAATGTAAACACTTGAGTTTAATGTATAATTTCAAAGTGTAATTCAGTGAAATTTAAGTAGATGTGTGTATTCCATAATTTGAATCTAGCTAATACATACATAGTCATTCCATTTTATGAAATATAAATTAACACTAGTTTTACTTTATATGTGCTAGGTTGCCTGTAAAATACATTTAACCGTAGTTAATTAGAGAAAATACACAAAAGCAGTATTGTAACAAAACAGTGACTTAAATATCCTACCTTCTATTAAAATTAGACATTCATTTGAAAGTGGGAGAATACCATTATTTTTCACAAAATGAACAGCCACTTTGCGTCCTCCTTGATCTTTTGTAGTCCAGATTTTTGAATCATATAATGATGTATTTTGTAGTTTGATATCTGGGGTTTTAGCTGCAACATCTTGAAAAATCATATCCAAATTGCCCTCATGTGGAACTTCTTTCCTAAAATCATTGATAATGAAATAATAGAAAACAATTTTGGTATAAACTTGAAAATTCCAATTTAACAAATTATTTATTTAAAAGATATCATTTTTATATGCAGATGAGTCAGCTACTTTTCCTTAAATTATGGAGATAATTCCCTTTGAAAATTAAATAAATTTTATTCAATAGATAAATATTAATATTTTACGGCTAAGTACATCCATATAATAATTACATTAACCACTGGTAATTTCCACGCCTGGTTTTGTGATACCATACATAGAAATTATAATTATTTCTAGTACAAATTTTTTCTTTTCTGAAAGGAATGCTAAACTTCCTAGTGGGAGAAAAAAATACAGCAGCCTTCTGTCTTCACTCCACTTAAATATCCACTTACTATTTAGGTATAAGGGCACATATGTTAAATCAATATTACTTTCAATTCCCTTTAAAAATTTGTCTTTAATTTTTTGTAGACATGGGGTCTTGCTATGATGCCCAGGCTGGTCTTGAACTCCTGGGCTCAAGTGATCCTCCCACCTCAGCCTCCCAAAGTGCTGGGATTACAGGCATGAGCCATAACACCTGGCCTCTCTTTAATAATTAATAATTTTTAAAAGTCACATGGTTAAGTATCATTTAGTAGAAATGGCATCATTTGGAATCAAAAGGTGTATGTCCTTGTCCTGTTTGTCACCAACTAGATATGTAACCTTAAGGAGTCTCTATTAACTTCTCTAATTTCCTTATTTGTTTAAAAAATGATCATAAGGGGTGGTTTTATTTTATAAAGCTGTATAATTTTATATCATTCAATGAAACAAATTTGATAATACTTCAAAAATTGCCTAAAATCCTTTCAAAAATCTCTCCAAACAGTATTATCCTTGAAATTTGGAGAGGAAAATATATATATATTAATGTACATAGATACTCACAAACAATATATAAACATACAAATATATAATGATGAATGTGTGTATATATGTATTTACACACTGTAGCATATTACAGTGAAAACTTGATTTATGGTCTCCAAATGCACATATCCATCAATTACCTATATTTTCTAAAACATCATTTTATATATTTAGAGGAAAGATAGGCAAATTGTATTAAAAAGATGAGCAGGGATTAAAAGTAATTTTCAGAGTATGTCTTATATTGATAATACAGTAATA